CCCCCCCCCCAGCCCCTGCCTCCGCTTCCACCCTCCTCCGCTCGGGAGCATGAATTCCAGTGGCGGCAGAGGAAGGGGCCAGCCCTTGAGATGAGTTTAAATACCATCATCATCATATTCACTCTTAATTACCATCTTTATTTAACATTAACTTTGGAGCTACAGCCTCAGCTAGCAAGTATAATGTCATTATAAAAATATTTTTCTTTATTAAAAAAACTTTTTTGGAAGGACGTATATATATATAAATGCTAATTTTAAATCTTTTTAATAAAGTAAAGGTCAATAACAGGTAATAGCCTATTTACCATATCTCAAGGAAATTGACTCACAGGAAATCAAATTAACGTTAATCACTTGCAGCAAATGGTCTTTGATAAATACAACTTCTGCCTACTTGGGGCGGCGTAGCCAGGCAGGAGGGCTCGCGCCGCACCCCCCAGCCCGTGCAGGGCTGGAGCCCCGGCTCGGCCGTGCTCGGGGGGCCATGGCTCCTGCCAGCTCTGGGAGGTGCCAGCCCGGAGCCCCCACGCAGAGCACGGTGGGTTGCAGCACATCCCAGGAATTGCCCTTGCGGGTCAGCTTTTCTTACCAACAGTTCTTGTATCGGGTTATTTTGTGAAATACCTTTGTCTGCCCGCTCTCCCCCCCAGGACCGGGGCCGCACGCTTCGCCCTCCGCATCCCGCGTGCCCTCGTGCACCAGCTTCTGCTTTTGCTCGTGGAGCAGACGCAACTCCTCCATCAGTTTTAGAACCGAACATTGCTTCTTTCACTACAGGTGGCGCATTTAAATAAATAGGTAAATAACGAGACGTGCATTGCAGAGCCTTCATTGTCAGTTAACGAGCGGTGGGGCAGATGGGGACCGCGGACTTCCGAAGACTTCTGTGCGCGGAGGACAAAGCACCGAACGATTTGCATTTGCTAATGGAGCTCCCCAAGTCCACATGCGCAGTGTTTGTGCTCCGGCTCAGTGGAAACGCTATTTTAAATGTAAAGTGTGTCAGTGGAGGCGTAGGCAGCGTAATGAACACGCAGACGTCCCTCATCTTGATCACATCTCTGCTGGCCACAGGCAAGGACCTGTCACACGCTGTGGAGGTTCATAGGAAGGCCATCAACAACCTTTGGGCCGCACTTGCGTGCCCCGCGCCCGCTGGGCATCATTAGCGTGCTGCTTTACAGCATTAAGGCTCTGGGTCCCTTTGAATTACAAGTGCAATTTGGCCTTCCCGTCCATGGGAGAACAGCCACGTGGTTACACGGCAAATAACAAACCTCTTCTCCTTGAGGCTCGGCCACACATCAGAGAGGTTTGCTGCGAGCACCGGTGTTAGGGTGGTGCTGGTGGTGGTGGTGTGTCTCACCCAGCAGCTACACCCCGAAGGGCCGCCTGAGCCTCGCGCAGGAACAGAGACTCCAGCAAGGATCCCTGGGGGGGCCGCGGACCCCAGCCATGCAGGACCTGTGCCGCAGCCCCGCACGCCCGCCCTGGCGTGGGGAGGAGACCCTCAGCCCTCCTGCCCCTGGGACTGCTTGGTGGCGCAACCCCGATTCCCTGCACCCAGGTTTGAGCTGTTGCTGCATGCAGATGTCACCGCCACCGGAGCCGCCGCAGCCCCGTGCCACCAGTGCGCCGCAGGGGCAGAGGAGCAAAGCCCCCCAGCCCCGTGCCCCGTGGCCATGGCTCCTGCCAGCTCTGGGAGGTGCCAGCCCGGAGCCCCCACGCAGAGCACGGGGGGTTGCAGCACATCCCAGCAATTGCCG